TTTGGCTCAAGTGCTGCACCGTTGCTTTGAGGGCTTGTGACGCCCCCTGGTCGGGGGGCAGGTGTGGAGGTTGACCCAAGGTTTGCCTTGGGGGAGCCTTTGCGCCTTTCCCAGCGATGCTTGAGTCCAACACGCCGCTGCTCATTGTTTAAGAGGTTGCAGGGTTTCGAACTTCCTCTTGAACCAGGCCTGTCAAGGGGGATAGAGCATACTTCGACCTCGCGGTACTCAACGAGATCTACCCCATCGACATCTTCTTCATCTATGGCGAGCTCCCGTGAGACCCCCAGGGAGACACCCGGGGGACAGGCGGTTCAGCCTGTGACAAGGCTAGGCTACCGGAAGACACACGACCGCAGTGATCCTCTCTGCAGGCTCCATGGCATGGTTGGAGGGGGACCCAGCCCGCTCCGCCCGCACAGGACTACGGAACAGGAGGAGAGACCAGATCGGGGAGAAGGAGACCGCGCACCAACGTCAACTGCAGATAGCAACCCCCCCCGCGGGGGAAGGCCACGTAGCAAGAGCGCTCAGGTCAGACGAAAAGGGGGGGACCCAAAAGTGGGATGGTCCCAAGTTGCAAGCCAAACTTCAACCTTTCAAAGTGGAATTTAATTGGTGTGGGGACGCAGGCCTCTCCGCTGGTCCCCCTTAAGGGGGCGACACTTTGACCAAGCACTCGCTCGCCACCATACTGATGCAGAGGAGCAGCAGTTACAGAGGGAACACGCTGACCGAGGCAAGAGCAAGTTACTCTACAAAAAGGCGCTCGAGGTCTTTCGCTTTTTGCGAACCTTTGGGGGAAAACCCTCCAAACTCCTCCAGCAAGTCGCTAAGGATAGACAAAATTCACGATGCTTGCTGTGAGAAGTGGGGGAACACACCCCCGAGGGCCGGTGGATCCGAAGACTATTCCGAGGAAATTCTGGACCCCTCTACGCCAGAGTGGCTCAACGCAGAGGAGGGGGAGCAGATACCCTTTACACCCGCCCTCGCCTCCCGCCCACGCGTTTACAGCGGCCGAGTCAAAGAAGCTTGGAAGATACAGAGCAAACTGGCCTCCCCCACTACCCCTGGTGTAGAAGAAGACGGCGCTTGGCAGTGGAAAGCGCCGACACCTTCTAAACGGGTGAGCCCTGAGTGAACTGAGTGAGTGCGTAAAATTCGTCCGGAGTTGCAGAGGCTTTTGACCTTTTCTAGATTCGGGGGTCTCGTTGTGTCTTTCGGGTTTGTGTTCCAGAATAGCCCGCTGCAACTCTCACTTTATCATATGCAAGCTTTTGCCACTAACTTCAAGTTGCTGTGATGATAGGGGGACCAGTACTTTAGCCTGCTGTCGTAGATGATCGCTCCAGACTGCTTTCCTTTCTCGGCCCGTTGCCGACTTGCAATGCCTGGGACCCAAACTATCTAAAACTGATCCGAACTCCAGCCGCTCAAAGTAGTAATTCAATGCCGTCTTTCCAACCGCCCGCCGTCCATGTTAACAAATTAGTCTGCAGAAATCCAGTCATAGGGGGACCTTTGCCCCCCGAACAGGTACTTTCAGGTCGGTCCTTCCTTTACCTACCAGGGGGATGCACTATCTAGTCGACTGGTTCTTGCTATTTTTGCTTCTCCCCTGCGCTGATTTCCTGAATCCAAAGCCCCCGATCTCCGTGACTTGTAAAAATCGGGGGTCTAACTTGTAAGGATTCAAGGAAAACAACAGGAATGTGAGAGGGACCGCCATAATTCCATGCCGATTGGGTGTGCACCTCGAGATTGTACGTTTGTCATACTCTCGCTATCGTATTCTTTATGGCATAAGCCTCCTGACAAACTACAATCGTTCCTCTCCCCCCGAATGCCCCCATAAAACGTTGGGGTGGGCATTTTTGCCCGGGGACCTTGACCGGTCCCTACACCGCTTTTCCCGCTGCGGGTGGGCTTGACGCCCGGGGGTCTTGACCGACCCCCATTGCGGCTCAAGCCATTTTGGCTCAAGGCTCAAGGTGCCTACGACGTCTTCTCCATCGACCGCGACTTCGACGTCTCAAGCGGCTACCCCCTTGCGACGTAAACCTAGAATCGCGTAGGCACGTGGAGACGCACGCAACGCCATGATCGCCAGCGCCAGTGTGTGCTTCCACCATCTTCGTTCGCATTGTCCTGGGTGTCCTGCTGTCAGCGCTTGGGTCCAGTGAGCTTGCAATCCGGCCTGTTCGTTTTCGGAGCTGTGTATGGAGCGACGGTTGCAACAATTTCCCCTCCCTGGGATGATGTCCTGATTTGTTTTTTCCATCGGCTGCGCAGATCCGGTGTGTCATGATGTTCGTGCCCGACGTGCTTGGAACCGCGAACGCCGCAGCAGCTGGATGGAGAAAATTGGGAGGTGGTGTCACGCAGATCTTCATGATGCTAGTACTGTCCAATCCCATGTTTGGCTCTGGCATTGCAGCGAACACTGTCTGGCGAGTGTCCATGAGTGTCCCTGTCGTAATCTTCCTCATCACTGCGAAGGGCCTGCGGTTCTGAGCCTTGCTGAGCCTGTGCAGTTACTGAGCTGAGCATCTTTCGTGTGCAATTAGCGAGGGAGACAGTTCTTTTGTTTTTACTTGTTGGGTCATTGATACTGGTTGTCTCGACCTTTTGTACTCGGGGGACGCCACAATCTAAGTTTCTTTTCAATTTTTCAAGACGGTCCGCTGGAGCCATTAACAGTTCATTAACACGGACTACCAAATTAGACAAACTTCTACCCCGCTACTTCGGGGGGACAATGCATACTCCAAAGTGTTTCCAAAACCGGGGAATGGACTGACTCGCTTCTACTATGTTTTGTTCCTCAACTAAGCCATTTCCTGAAACGGGGGAGCTGACCAATTCGACGTTTCACTCCGCTGTCATATTATCCAAGCCGATCCATGTTTTTGCAGCCCCGGGAAACCGTTTTATGTTACGGTGAGTGATGCAGGCATCAAGGCTGTTATGGACTTTGGTGACTTTCCACTACGAGATTCCACGCCCTTCCAAGAGCCCCGGATAGCAAACGGGGGGGCCTAGAGCCCGGAGGGCCTTAACAGCCCTCTATGCCCCGAAGGAAGGAAGAAGAAGAGGGAGAGATACATTTTCTCAGGCAAACCTCACTCCTTGGCCCAACCTGGCCACACAATACTTGATTCTTTTCAACACACCGCTCTGAACCTCGGGGGAAGTGTCAAGGCCGCAATTGACCTCGTACCTTTCCACGGCGGCCCAAGATACCTGCTCAAAGCAGCGGGGGATAGCATGTTTTTGCCTTGCAGCCCCACTCCTTTCGCGCTTTCCCTCAGCTGATGCCTAAGGCCCCACTTCAGTATTTCATACTCCTGTGAGTACTTTACTGTCATTCGATCTGCCGTTCCCTTTCAGTCGGGGGAGGCCATTAGCCATACAAACCAGCTCAGAACACGCCAACATTGAATGTTTTTTCACGTCGGAGCCTCATTTTCATGGGTCTTGAGTTTCGGAGTTAATGCAAGAGGGTGTCTTACCATGGGCTACCCCGCTCAGCAAGAACGGGCACAGCTGCGATTGGGGGAAGAGTTGTTTACCTGTTGTCGTGTTTAGTTGCTTTGCTTTCGATCAACTGCAGCTGAACGAGCTCCTTTTGCAACCTGGCCGGGGGGATTTCCTTGTTTCGTACAACCGACCGAGCCCTCCATTGGTCCATGGCAATATGCCATGGAGGGGACCACGGACACCCGAGAACCGCGGGTGCGCTCTCGTGCGGAGGGGGTAGCTGGCTGGACCGTTGCCTTCTCCTGCCCCTGTAGACAGAGAGAGAGAGAGAGAGACAGAGAGAGAGAGATATATATATATATGTATATATATATTTTATATATTTATTTATTTATAATATAATAATATTTATATATACATATACACACATATATATACATACATACATACATATACATATACATATTTAGTAAGTTGCTTGCAATTTTTTGACAGCAACCCACCTGCAACAAAATGGTTCAAAACAACACATGCATACGATGGCATACGCAGGCTTGCGATTAGGACTTTGTTGGAACCTGCCGGCGTTTGGAAGGATTGGTTTTGTGCGGCAGAGTACGTAATACATCTGCAGACACAGAGTTCGACTTGTTCAAGGAGTCCCATTGGTACCGTTGTTTGGACTGTGAGGTGAACCCGGCTGGCCGCAGCAAAGCACCGCTGCCTCGGGAAGTGAACAACGACTCTTTGCTCGCGGAAATAGATGCAGGCGTGACTTGCGACAAGGTGGTCTCGCTTTCGCATGCTGCGCCTGTGCACCAGTCTACATTATGCCCGTGGTGTCGTAGTCATACTTTCCCTCTTAGCGCCCAACAAGAATCCGACAGCCCCCAAGGAGGGTTATGCACCAACTGCACCGAGCAGAAGCCGTGCTCCGAGTTTGACACATTTGACACGGAAGGCCAGGCGACCGCTAGCTAGCCAGGCAGCATATAGAGTCCCAACTGCAGCCACTCAATCACGCTGTTTCATAGAACCGTTTGTTGACGAAGCGTCTGCACCCGCAGTAGCAAATCCAAAGCATTGGCTGCACGGCCTTTGCAAGCGTGCACGCCGCTTTCCCCCCAGCCCACATCGAGCCATGCTACCTGCTCACATGCCCTCCCTTCCATCGTTTTCCGCAGCTTCAGCAGTTTTTGTCCCCGGTCCCCATCGACATCACCGGACTTGAGTAGGCAGACCGGCGGAATCTTGTAAACATGCGTCACAAGTGTGATTGTTCGCACCTCCCAACATGAAGCATTTCAGTGCCCTCTTCAACCCCCCCCCCCCCACCTCTTGTGCCGCAGCAGGCCCTCCTGAAATTTCTCAGTGCATCTCACAGCCTAGCCGTCCTGCACTGAACGAGGCGACGGACGGCTCGGGCTCACGGAGCCCAGCTTTCGACTACGAGCAGATGGCAAACGAGGCAGCTCGAGCGAGACGACCAGAGGACCGGGCAGCCGGGCATTTCCGGGCAGATTGATTGCATCTGTCGCAGTGCCAGCGAGAACTAAGCACAGGAAAGAGTCAGCGTCGTCGTAAACCCACTTCACTCGCCCCTCCCTGGTGCTCGAGTCGAGTCTTAGGGTTCAAAGGCTGGTGTGATGCTGCGAGCCAACATCCAATCTCGGTAAAACCCACACTGTTAAGACGAGATGTTGATTTCAATAGAAACTTCTTTGATCAAAAGCGAGTATGCAGCACTACTGGGCCTGCTAAGCAGTGAAGCGATGCTAGGGGCTGTACCCCATTCGAATTGGATAGCATCGATGCAGGTGCCGCCGATTGAGCGCAGAACACTTCAAAAGCGCGACAATCTTGTGGACTTCATCCTGGCAGATGCAGGCCGAAGAAATGCAGCGGGCTTCCAATTACAGCACATGCGATTCAACCTCTGCCATTGCAGGATATTGCCAGTGTGTCACCGGTGACAGGGCGATTTAACCACTCTGCTTGGTCTCCGCCGGATGCTGCAGATTGCAAGTCCTGAGAACAGCAGCTCAATCGTGAACATGAACTCGTTTCCTTTCCACCTGTTCTCAGCCCTGGACCCCGCGCAAAGCCATACAGTGAGGGAACTCGGGAAGCCCCATCTCCGGAGTATCTGTGTTTGGGGTTGGCGCTGGCAGACACGGCTCGGGCTACGACTCCGCGGTTCATCCGCGGCCCATCGATGCAGCAGCCTCAGGGAGCCTGAGAGCATTTGACACTCACGGAGGCATTGGCAGTGTCAGCCGATGTTAGCTGTTTTGCTTTCCTGTCGGTTGCAAGGAAGCGGCAAGCCATGAGCACTTGCTACAGCCAGTTCCCAAGCAGGACAGCCTGACCAAAGCTATTTGTGAATTCGGGCACCCATGTGTCCATCCAGTTGCCTTGACAGGAAGCAGCTGACTCCTCGAAGACATGGAGCGAAGCAGGCGATTCAGTACGAAGATTCACCCAACACCCATTCCTTGCGACGATAGCTGCTGACAAAGTTCAAGTCGAATCCCAGATGCCCCAAGCGTAGCCGCACCAAGCTGCACATGCCTTTCTTGATGCCGGCGACCCTACTGATGTCCTGTACGTCTCCATTTGGAACGAGCGTTTTGCGCGTTTGTTCTCAGTCTGTTTTTCTGAGGCCTTTGCTGCGCTAGTCCGATAGTCTTAGGATGCGAGCGTGTGGCTTCGAGGCAGGGGCATGTCCAACTGGAGCTTGGAGCGCTCATGGGACAAAGTCTTGCGGAGGCTTAAAGCCAGAGTGCAGAACGAAGGCCCATTGCGAGATTGACAGTGCTCCTGGCCGTGCGATGCAGACTTCAGATGATACCGTCAAGGGCACCTCGCAAATGCTGATTTGCGACTGTAGTCGGCGACTCCTTTCAGAAAGAGCGGTCCACTCTCAGAACCATCGGGCTGTAGGACACACCAGGGAACCGGTGCATCAAACCCGGGAGATCCCGAAAGCTTGGTTTGGTTTGCCGCACCCCCGACAAGCCTGGGACAGCGCAGCCATGACGTCATGCGGTTGCCAGACACGCAAGCCCCGACAACTTGCAGTTGCTGGTTCTGACTGTGGTTGGCCAGCCACAGCACCAGGGCCCTGTGGGAGAAGGAATAGACATTGACAAGTCACAAAGATTGTACATCATTCCCTGAGGCACCACATGGTTAATCGCGCTCAACCGGCACAAAACGTTCGATGTGCCAGCCAGCTGGATGCTGGATTGAAAAAGTACTGGAAGCACGTGAGCTGCAGCAGAGGGTCAGGAAACCTGGGAGCACTTGAAACTTGTCAGCTGCGTGGTCGCCTACTGCCGGCATGGGCTTGTAGCAGCAGATTTGCTCGCACAGGTGCAGGGTGACTCATCAAAAACTTGCAGCATTGATTGAAACCGTCCTGCAGCATGCTGGCATGGCAAGCTCCATCTGACAGCTCCTGCCGCAGGTTCAGCCGGCAGTGGCCACGCTGCCACCGCTATCGAAGAAAAAGCGCCATCAGCTATGGCAATGAGTTCGTGCACCTACTAAGTTAAGTTAGATCAGTGGTGAAATTGACAACAACAGGCTTTGATCCCCAAAGCTCCCCATGTTCTAAACGAGGCTCGCGCTCGGGGCCCTCTAAGCAGTTCGAGTGCATGTGGGGATCGCAAGCAATTCTAATTCGCCTGCAACTGACTTTGGGTGCATGTTGCGTAGTGCAGTGTAGGATAGTGTAAGCAAGATACCCCGCAACAAGACTGCTCCACTCCTTGGGCAGTCTGAGCCTCGCAAAGTCTGTCTACGTGGCTGCCCGTGTAGAAATCAGAGGAAACCGTCTTCACCAAAGTCAGCGCGAAGGTCCGCACTTTTCTCGGCTGTCCCTCTGCCTGTCCACTGCAAATACATGTCCCTACCGGGATGCAGGACACACAGATCTCAATTCGGGGCCCTGCACAAAGGCTGGCTGGGTTTCAAAAATGAATGAAATCAGGAAAGCTGAGATCAGCTCGACTTCCAAGTGCCTACAGTCTGTTAAAGTCTTCGAGCCAATGTGCCTGCAAGTTTAGGTAGGCTAGTGGCCAGCTGTTAGCTTTTCGAATGGTTACCTGTGAGGCCAAATCTAAGATGGCACTGAATGCAGAAACGAGAGGGCCCAGCAGGGGCAGCTCGAGAGGTCGCAGAAGAACTGCGATCCCAGAAGTTTCACCGACTTCGGCAGCCCGGATTCTCCACAACTACCTCGGAGTCTAAAGCCTGACACGTGAAATTGAAAGTGTTTGAGGGTGCCTCTCGGACCGTAAGGAGAAAACCTGAAAGTCGTTGAAGGCTAGAGAGCTGAAGCATCAGATTTCAGATTTGGCTGAGTGCCCACGGTTTCACGACGGATCCATAGGCCTTCTGTGCTAATGGAGGTCGAACAGGGTTCACGTTTCTGGTTCGGGGCATAGAAAAACAGCGCACAGCTACTTGACAAGTTTTCCAGTCTCGCTTGCCATCTTCGGCTGCCAGAGGTCGAGAAATCCTCCAGCGCTGCAAACGAGCAGTTCAGCAGTTCGCAAAACAGCGACTGGAGTTTCCTCTACACCGCATCTTGTATCCTGCGGTTTGATTTGAAGCAGCAGACGAAGCGATTGACCCGGGTCAGATTTGCCATAACTCTCCAGAACGATCCCAGAAGCTGCAACTTCCGAGGCGATTCCGGCATGAGCTCTTCTTGGAGCAGACGGCGAGCCGGCTGACATGCGGTCGTTTCAGAGTGTGATTTGGGCCTGGGACATGTGCCGGATGCTTTCTGTCGTGCAAATCCATCTTGATGCATTTACTTTTCGTGTCTTTCCATCTTCGTCGGCCGCAACAGCATGTAGGACCTGATTACAGGCTTTGAAACCCAAATCGACACAGGAGTTCAGCTTTTTCATGTGTGCCCTCCGGCCCATGGCAAAGGTCATGAACGAGTACTTCATGGCGTTTCCTTCCCTGATCGCCACGCCACCACCGCTGATGCGACCTCGGCACAGAAACTTCACGTACAAACATGTATGATCCGCTTGGCTGAATTCTCCGTCAGTTGCTCTTCTTATTCCCAAAGGCTTTGATTTTGCACACTTGGCTGAGGAAGCACTTCGAAGGCTATGCAGGATATTTTGCAAGACATACCGGCGGCATCAAGGACCAGGCCAAGTAGTTGGGATTGGCTCCCGATGATTGCAGGGTTTTCGAAGGGAAATGTCAGAAGGCCTTAGCCATCGCCTTGCGGAATGCGTTGCTGGACCGGGCGGGGATCTAAGCGAATGTCCTCAGCCTTCCAAGTGCCTGCGGTGCTTCAAGCCGTGGCTCCCAGACTCAAGGCATTTTGGGTAAGGCAGCGAGCTGAAGCTTCAGGTCACAGCTCCAATCAAGCATCCGAAGTCACCTTGGGCAGCAGCCCAAGTCTCTGGAGCCATGCGCATGGCAGACTAGAAGTCATCGTTTGCGCTTCGCCAAGGCATCCACCCTGCGAGCAGATTCGATTGCCCAAACATTGCTCCGATTGGCACAAAGTGAAGACAAAAATGACGGTTGAGATCCGGAAAGTGGAGAATGCGTACCTGTACAAGATCAAGCTTATACCAGCGCGGGACGCAGCAGAAACTTGGATCCATGGAGCCTTGGAAACAGATTATTCACCATTGGAATAGTGATATGAAACTCTCGACTACAGCTGACGAAAACGATAGAGAGAAACAATGCGAAATATCGACTCACTAAATAATAAAGAATTGATTTTTTGATTTTCCTACGAACTATATTAAATTGGACACATTTTCTTCATTTCATTAGAATTCATGATTATTTCTAGATGCCCTACAATTGATAGGTTTGAGATATTTTTATTGATTTGATTATTTTTATATACTAAATAACCAAAAATATAAGATGTATATACGAATAATTCGAAAATGAAATTATGTAAACTAGAATAATATTTATTTAAGTTATTTTAATATTGTAGTCGTTAGATAAACTTGACTAATTGAGTGTAATTCTTTTCGGAGTCGTTATGAATTATTTGACTATTAATTGCCCGAACAAAAGGAAGAATATATATCGTAATTTATATGGGTTCTTTTAGAGTTTAGATGTGGTAAATTATTGAAAATTCTTAATACGATATATATAAATCGATTAGCAAAGATATTATAGTACAAATCAAAAAAGATAAATAAAATCATTTTTTTGAAGAATTAGAAGTAGTTATAATATAAACATATAAATAGAGTGACTTCAAAAATCTGTCGTCTAGAGAAAAGATTCTACTATGAAATGATTCATATATTCGGGATGAATCTTCTTTTATTTTTTTTATTTTTAATGAATTTTATATATTGACGAATTAAATCTCTAAAAACGCTTGGCTACGATGGAATATTTGCGGAATTCTTTAAGTGATAAAATTCGCCTCGGCCCCGGCCGAAGCGGTTAGAAGTACTTATTCGGATTCCCTCTATTCCCCACCTCTTAATCCCCTCCCCACTGACCCCCACCCCTTAAAACCACCATCGTGGGGGGGGGGTGCCTCTGTGTGAACCCATAAATGAGCCCTAAGATCCAGCGGTGAAGTTTCGCCTCTTCCAATGGATTTGGGCTGTCTGTGG